ATCCCCCCCCCCCCCCCCCCCCCCCCCGCTTCCAGATGGCAGACATTTTCACTGTGGAGGCACGCGCTGCAAATAACGGTTGTTACAAATAACGGTTGAAACTCTAGACCCATTACCACTAACAAAGCCATGTTGCAACTTCAGTTCACCCCTGATGAAGACACTAGACAAGATCGAGTGTCAAAACATTGGGTCATGAATGCAATTCATTTCTTAAAACCATGAGTAGCGAGCGAAAACATGACCAACCCATTTATACATTTAAGGTTTTGCATGGCAAACAGAGTGTATATGTCACAGAATTTGGCAACCATCATAATATATTAATAATCTTACAAGATTCTTAATTGCTACAATTGCATGGAAAACCTGTATTTTATTAAAAAAAAAATACTTATGGAGAGGCTTAAAATATTTAACAGCAGCAAGATAATAAAACTAAAATTGTATTGGTTCATAATATACATAAACATAAAAATGTGCAATTGCGACTTCCAATATTGACTGTATTCTTTTAACAATTAAGTACTTTCCTGGAAGCTAGATATTTCATACCTTTGTTTATGTCTGGTAAACTATTAAAAGGCGACATATTTTGCTTTCAAGACGGAAAATCAAGCAAATCGTCAAAGCGCCAGGGGCAATCTAATGCAAAACAAAATACTTACAGTTATTGGTCTTGATCTTTGACCAACAGACAGCGCAGAGCCACACAAACTTGATCCAAACCGAACAAATCTGGACACCATGTTTCTCTGCTGATTCAACATTTCAACTGTCCGCTCGGAGTTTGGGATCGAAGATAGCCACACCCCCAATACACCCCGGCATTTCCCCTCCCCCTGTTTCTGAAACTGCAGATGGAAAATGCGGATGAGAGGATAAAATGCGGATGAGGGAATAAAACGCGGATGGGAAAATGCGCGTTCTATTTCGTTACTTATGCTTAATTAATTTCTTATTAGTATAGGTAAAATTGGTAATACTATGGTTTCGAATGCAATTTGGACAAAAACATGCACGAATGAATTTTTCAAAGACGATCAAATTTGCACAAGTTTGAAGACTTTGAAATACTCATCACGAGTGTATGTTTTTCCAAACTGCTGGTTGATAATAATATACATAATAAGTTTACACGCTTTGATAACACATGTGCACTTCCCGACGCCATTTAAACATTGCTTTGTTCAAACCTTTCCAGTTTATGCAATTATGCGCTCCTTGTACTATAAAGTGTTTCATTATATAAAGTATATTGCTTTATAGAGATTTCGAGCACTGATAAAAGTGATAATCTCACATGTGAGATTATCATGATAATCTCACATGTGAAAACTATCGCTTTTCAATTATCGCTTTTCTGTAAAAATTATCGCTTTTCAAAGACGTCTATGAGTCTGTCCTTTATATAATACACAGAAAAATACATGGGTGCTTGGAAATAGCAGATTTATTTCTCGTGTTAAACATGATATCTCACACGTTCACAGCGCTCACTCATGAGATATCATATCCAACACCAGGGCTGCAAAATTACCCCTGAAAAAGGAATTAATTACAATTACAATTACTTGCTTTAAAATGTAATAAATTCCTGATTACAATTACTTTTTCTGAAATGTAATTAAGTACAATGAAAAATTACTCCGGAAAAAAGGAATTCATTACAAATTCCTTTACCGGCAAATTGTTACTATATATATATATATATATATATTATAAGACAATATCTTAAACAGTATTCAAAATAAAAACGGTATAAACTATGAAATTTGCAAGAATTTATCAAGATGATATTTCAATTTATGCATAATGGCGTCACAAGGCTTGATGCCCGCGAGGAATGCTGGTCTCAGCAGTCATCGTCCGGGAAAATTAAACAATTCAAAATGGCCACTATCGAAATTTTCCCGGGCGATGACTGCTAAGACCAGCATTCCTCGCGGGCATCGAGCCTTGTGACGTCATTATGCATAAGATCTATTGTTAAATATTAAAACATTTGACATGCAAATCGAAGCATGTAAACTTAAAACTTTATTTGCCAATATTTGGCGCTCTTT